CCCTTCTCGTGGCCGCTCGCAGGTGTAGAGGTCAATCGCCCATTATCATTCCATGGAAGAAGTCTGCAAGTGATAAAGATCATATGGCAATTTATATCGGTGAGAAGATCTTTATCAAGAACTTCGGATTCTATGTCGATTGTATCCAAAATCGGGACTTTTTTCTTCATTATGCAGATTCTGATTTGCTAAAGGACGTGACGAGATACAGTCGACAAGAACTTGAAGTAGCTTGTGAAGATTTTAGCAACATTATCGGGTCGTCATCGGATAGCGTAGTCTACAAAGGAACCATGAAAGGTGGGCCGGAAATCGCAGTCATATCCCTTTGCAATCAGGAAGAACACTGGACCGCTTATCTCGAGCTCTATTTTCAAAAAGAGGTAATGGGAAATCGGGAAATCTTGTTTTTTCTTCATATGTGTTCTCAAGATTTGATCTTTTGGTCGTGTTTTGGATAGATCAGGTGGCGGATTTGGCGAGGCTAAATCATGAAAACATCGGTAAATTGATGGGATATTGTGTCGAAGCTACTCCGTTAACAAGAATGTTAGTCTTTGATTATGCTTCAAATGGGACGTTATCGGAGCACCTCCATTGTAAGTTTTCCGATTTAGGATTTATCAGATTAATTGCCGAGAAGTTTTATCGAACGATTTCGTTTTATTGTAGGCGAAGAAGGGTGCCAACTAAGTTGGACACGAAGAATGATGATCGTTATAGGACTCGCGAAAGGTCTAAAGTATCTTCACACGGAAATCGAACCGCCATTTACTATATCCGAGTTGAATTCTAGCGCGATTTATCTCACGGAAGATTTCTTGCCAAAGGTAAAAGCTTCAAACTTTCCTGTCAATTCGTACTTCGAGAACCGGTTACATTTTCGTTTTCTTTAAATGTAGCTAGTTGATTTCGAAAGCTGGAAAACCATTCTTACGAGATCGGGGAACAACTTTCGATCAATCGGCAGCGAAGGTGCCGCTATGTGTGTTCAACCAAGCTCGTTAGAAGAACGTCATTTGGATGTCGAGGGTAACATTTATGCATTCGGTGTACTTCTCTTGGAAATCGTCAGTGGACGTCCTCCAGTTTGCAAAGACAAAGGAGTACTAGTAGATTGGGTAAGGATTCTTGGAAATCATCCGCGGAAGTCCTCCAAGATTATGATGAATTGATCATAATGATTTGTTTTGATATTTCAAACAGGCTAAAGATTATCTTGAAGAACCCGAGAAGATGGCATTGATTGTAGATCCGGCACTGAAGCATTTCAGAGACGAAGATCTTGAAGCGATACGGGAAGTGGTCGCCATTTGCATTCATTTACGGCCTCGAGATAAAGTAAACATGGAAGAACTGAGTAGGATGTTGGAAAGCAAACTCGACACMACGGGGTCATCAGAGCTCAAGGCGTCGTCGTTAGCATGGGCTGAACTCGCGCTTTCGTCGTGACACGGAGTCGTAAAACCTAACATACTGTA